CCCCCCCCTCCCCTCCCCCCGTCTGCACAGTTGCCCAGGCCGGAAGGGGCAAAGGCCGGTTCCCACCAGGGGAACGAGTGGGTGGCATCTTCCGGGCACGGGGCCACTGGCACCCTTGGCCAGGCAGTGCTGCTACCAGCAGACCGGCTGCCTGGCAAGGCTGATGGGGGGAGCTGGGCTGCCCTCTGACTGACCGGCCTCTCCCCACCCCCCACCCCGCCCCAGGAGCTGCGGGAGCGTGTGCTGCGTGGCAAGTACCGTGTCCCCTTCTACATGTCCACGGACTGCGAAAACATCCTGCGGCGCTTCCTGGTGCTGAATCCGGCCAAGCGCTGCACCCTGGAGGTGAGGGGGCCCAGTGGCGTGGCAAGCCCCGCGTGGCAATTTGCCAGCCTTGGGCCTCTCCAGAGGCTCCTCCCTCCCTCGTGGTCCCTCTGGGGCTGAAGGAGCACAGCTGGCACTGCCCGTCCCCCATGCCAGTTTCCCGGGCACCCACCAGAAGCCGGGCCTTTAATTAGCAACCGTCTCCGGGGGATCTGGCCCTCCCCACTGCTGAGCCTTCCTGCCCCCCCACCAATGACTGTAATTAGCCTAATTGACTCAAGGATAATTGCATGTGTGTCAGGAGGAGGCAGCTTTGCGCAGCAGCCCACGCCTCCCCTCCTGGCACAGCTCTGGTCTTCCGGCTGAGCCTCTGCAGGCGCCCTGTAGATTATTGGGGGGCTGTTGGTGCCTCCCCTGAAAGGGAGACCGGTGCTGGGGGAAAATGGGGGGAGCCGCTTGGCCCGGCCTTTGCTCGCCTGGGGTGTCCAGATACCTCAGGTGGGAATGATGAGGGCTTGAGCTCAGGGCACCAGGTGGGGCCGGGGGGGGGGGGCGGGGTGGGCGGGGGGGGGCCCAGTGGTTTGGCCCCCCATTAATGCTCCCCCCCCCCCCCCCCCCCCCCCCCCAGCAAATAATGAAGGACAAGTGGATCAATATCGGCTACGAAGGGGACGAGCTGAAGCCTTACCGAGAACCCGAGGAGGATTTTGCGGATGCCAAGCGCATAGGTAGCCCCCCCCCCCGTGGACCCCTCCCCTCTGGAGTGCGGCTGGTCTCCCACCTGCACAGGCGCCTGAGACTGGAGGGTCTCCGGCCAATGCCCGGCTGCTCTCCTGGGCTCCGAGGGTCCACCGGGCGGCAGTGGGGCATCTGGGCAGCCCCGTCCCCAAGAGCCCCGGGGTCCTGGAGCCCCTCCTGACTGCTGCCCCTCCCTCTCCAGAGGTCATGGTGGGCATGGGCTACAGCCGGGAGGAGATCGAGGAAGCCCTGGCCAACCAGAAGTACAATGAGGTCACGGCCACCTACCTGCTGCTGGGCCGGAAGAACGAGGTACGGACGCTGGCAAAGGGCCCCCGGGGAGGGGGTGCCCCCCCAGACGCTTCAGTCGTGCTCAGTTTGCCCGGAGGCTGCAAGGGGCGGGTTTTGGATTCCCCCGAGGGCCCCGCGTGGGGGGGGGAGGGTCCCTGGCCTCTGAGGAGCCGGGCTGCAGCTGGCCTAAGGAAGGAGCCATTCACACACACCCCGCCCCGCCCCGAGAGGCCCGCTTGGGCGTGTGGGCAGCCGCTCTGATGGGCCTGGCGTTCCGCTCTGTCCAGCAGGTGGAAGGGGGGGAGTCCCGCACCAGCAGCAGCCTCTCACTGGCCCGAGCACGGCCACCCAGCGAGGCCTCCAACGGCACCAGCAAGTCCTCCTCGCACACCAAGGGCCAGCGGAGCTCCTCCACGTACCACCGGCAACGGCGGCACAGCGATTTCTGTAAGTGGCCCCGGGGCCCTGCCGTCTCTGGAGCCCTGAGGGCTGCTCCCGGGGTCTGGTGTGACCCCCCACCCCCACGTGCCGCCTGGATGGCCCCCTGCCTAGCAGACTCCAGCTCTCCTCTTAGCTCCGTCCCCCCCAAAGCATAAAACGGCCCAGGAATTCATGGGAGCCCAAAGTTGTGTGAAGCTGAGGCTGGAGGGAGCTTGGAGGCCCCTTGGGGGTTGGTTTGATAGCCTCAAGGAGCCCTCTAAACTCCCGCAGCTGTGGACCCCTCCGGAGGTTGGAGGTGCCTCCAAGATGGTCAGCGGGGGGGATGGGGAACATAATACGGGGAGTCCTTGATTTATGACCACAAGTTTCTTTTGCCGAATGAGGCAGGTACTGAGTTTTGTCCAATTTTATGACCTTTCTTGCCGCAGCTGTTAGGTGAATCCCTGCAGTTCTGAAGTTAGTCCCACGGTCGTTAAGTGAACCCGGCTTCCCTGTTGACTTTGCTTGTCAGATGGTCGCCAAAGGGGACCACGTGACCCCCAGGGGATGCTGCGACCGTCGTAAATATGAAGCAGTTGCCAGGCATTGGAATTTTGATCACATGACCATGAATGGATGCGGTGATGGTCATAAGTGTGAAAAACGGTCATATACCCCTTTTTTTCAGTGCCCTTGTAACTTCCAATGGTCACTAGAAGGACCGTTGTACATTGAAAACGGCCTGTGAAGCCCCTGCTTGGAAAATGCAGGATTTTCTTCCATTTTTTTTCCACCTCGGAGGAAGTTCAGAAGAAGGGAGACCCAGGGGGGTTTGGGTCCTGAGCCCCTTTGGCCCCTGGGGCTGCCCGGACGCTGCCCCCTCTGAAGGTGCCCCCTCCCCCTCCCCAGGTGGCCCTTCCCCCACCCCCCTGCACCCCAAGCGGAGCCCCACCAGCACCGGGGACGGGGAGCTGAAGGAGGAGCGGATGCCCTCGCGCAAGGCCAGCTGCAGCGTGGTGAGCAGCGGCCGGGCGGGCCTCCCGCCCTCCAGCCCCATGGTGAGCAGCGCAAACAACCCCAACAAATCGGAGATCCCCGACCGGCGCAAGGACAGTGCAGTCAACACGGTGAGGGGGGGGGGGGGAGGGGGGGAGGGGGCCGACGGGCTCCTCTCTGGGCACAATCCCTCATTTGGTGGGGCAGGGGGCATGGCTGCTCCCCCGGGGCCGCGGAGGGGGGGGGAATATCCCTTCCCTGCTGGGACCACAGAGCTTCTCTTAGGCGGGGAACGCAGGGTGGGGTTTTCGGAGTGGTTTCCTCCGGGGCCCAGGCACAAAAGTGGCTCCCCCTTGGCCCCCCGCCCAGTCCAGGAGCTGAGGTTCTGGGGACGCTCCTGGTGTCAGAGCAGAAGCCGAACCTGCCCGGGGGGGGGCTGCATTGGAAGAGGGCCCTAGGGCCCTTCTGTACCCCGACCGGGGGTCCGACCGGGGGACAGAGGGACCGAGCTGGAGGGACCTCGGGGGTCCATCTCAAGCAGGAGCCCCTCTGCCGTTCCAGGCAAAGGGCGGTCCAGTCTCTTCTCCAAAGGCTCCCGTGACGGAGCCCCCACACCCGCTGGGGGCCGGCTGTTCCGCTGACGAATTGCTCTCCCGGTGAGGAAACGTCTCCTTGGGGAGCTTCCCTCCGTGGCTGCTTCTCCTGCCTGCAGGGCCTTCGCCTCTGGGGCAGCCCCTCAAGGACGGGATCCCTGCCGCCGTGTCACACCTGGTCCTTCTTTTCGGCAGACGGGCGATGCCCTCCTTGCGCCTTTTACCCTGCAGCCGCCTGCACTCCTGGCAGAGAGTCCCAACCCATTTTTTGTACATCCTTGTAGCAGCCAAAGCTGGAGGGTTTGTAGGCCCCCTGCGTCACAAAGGCTGCAGTGCCTGGTTCTGTGAAACGAAGGGCCGGGGGTGACAGTCGGCGGGGGCCCAACCTGCCCTGCAAAGCACCAGGAGGCAGGAGAGGGAGCAGCGGGTGGGGGCTCCGCAGGGAGGGGAGCCGCCTGGAACCGAGGAGCAGCAGAACAGCCTCCCCGGGAGCTGTGGGGGCTCCCTCACGGGGGGCTTTTAAGAGGAGGCTGGACAGGCGTTAGTCCGAAATGGGGGAGGGCCTCCTGCGGGAGCAGGTGGGGCTGGACTAGAAGACCCGCAGGGTCCCTTCCGACTCTGCCGTTCACGTCTTGAGCCGCCAAGGGCCTGGAGGCCGGGAATCTCGGGCAGCCGGCCTCTAATCCCCGGCTCTGAGCCGGCCGCCCTCCTTCCGTTGCAGAATAACATCCCGTCCAGTATGATGACCCGGCGGAACACCTACGTCTGCACAGAGAGGCCTGGGGGCGACCGCCCCTCCCTGCTCCAGAACGGGAAGGAGAACAGGTGAGCCTTGGCTGGGTGGGGGGGTGGGGCAGCCTGGCTGTGGCTCTGGGGCCCTGCTTGAAGCGGGCTGGACTTCCACTCCCAGAATTCCTCAGTGGGCCCTGCGGGGAGTTGAAGTCCACCGTCTTCCAGGAACTGGGAAAGACCCGACCGGCAGAGGAGCAACGGACGCTGTGGCCGGCTCCTCCTCCTCCTCCTCCTCCTCCTCCTCCTTGGGGCTGGCCCCTCCCAGGAGCCCCCTTTCCTTCTCCCCAGAGAGGAATGCGAGGGGGGCTCCTGAGTCGTCCTGGGCATCCCACCGAGGGGCAGCAGGGCCGCCTGTCTGGTGTCCGGGGGGGGGGGGGGGGAGGGGGGTCGCCTCAAGGGCTGCAGGGGACCAGCTGTGGCTCAGGGGTCAAAGGCCAAACCTTTGGGTGGGAGATCTCACATCCTTTGCTCCAAAGTTCTTCCCCCCCCCCCCCCCCTGTTCTCGGGGGTGGGGGGGGAGCACCTTGCCTTGCCCTGAGTGGTGCCCTCTCCTTCCTCCCCTCCCTCCCTCCCTCCCTCCCGCAGCTCAGGCGCCAGTCGGTTGCCCCCGGCCTCCCCCTCCAGCCACAGCATCGCCGCTGCCGCCTCCTCCGACCGCACCCGGCTCTCTCGCGGCACCAACATCCGCAGCACCTTCCACGGGGGCCAAGTGCGCGACCGGCGTGGCACCAGCGTGCAGAATGGGCCGCCCCCCTCGCCCCCCCTCTCCCACGAAGCCCCCCCTCTGCCTCAGAGCCGCAGCCGGGCCTCTTCCAACCTGTTCAGCAAACTGACCTCGAAGCTCACGCGGAGGTAAGCGGGGGCCGCTCCTGGCCGGGGGGGGCAGCCGGGGGGGTGGGGGGGGCTGCAGCACCGAATCCTCACCCCTCCCAGATAGTTTGCAGAATTCAGGCCCTTCCTGGACGATAGGCAGCCCCTCCCGCCCCAGGTGACATACAGGCAGTCCACGGCTTACGGCCGCAGGTGAACCCCCCATGCAAGAGAGTTACTAAGTGAGTTTGCCTCCCCCATTGTACGACCTTTCTTGCCCCAGTTGTTAAGTGAATCACTGCGGTTGTTAAGTCACTAACATGGCCATGAAGTTGAATCGGGCTTCCGCATTGACTTGGCTTGTCAGAAAGTCGCTGGGACTTGAGTCCGTCGCCAAGCGACCGGATCCGGAGCACGGGACCAGGGGGATCCTGCAAACGGTGCCGGGTGCCTTTATTCTGTGCCCTCGTAGCTTTGAACGGTCCCTAAACAAATGGCTGTAAGCCGAGGATTGCCTGAAAGGAGGCACAGAGGGGGGTTTAAGGAGGTTCAGCCCCCCCGGCCCCTTCCCCTGGCACTGCCCCACGGGTGCCAGCCTCCCCCTGCAGCCCTTGGAGGGGCAAAGCCCCTTCAGGGCAGCTGTTCCAGGCCCAGCGAGGGAAGCTGCCTCTTGCCCCCCCCCCAGGACCCTCCCCACCTGCCCTGTGTCTGCCATCCAGGGGAAACCAGGGGCTCCCCCCAAAGTCCTCGCCCAGCTGCGGCCGCCGTGCTGGCACAATAGGGAGGAAATGGCCTGCCTTTAAAGTGGACAGCGACACCCCCGGGGGTGGGGGGCGGGTACAGGCTTCATAAGGACGATCCGGATGACGCAGAGGCCTCCGTGTTGCCTGGGCACAGCCAGGAGGGGCCCCGGGGGCTGGCCAGAGAGAGGGCGCCTTCTGCAACCCCCCCCCCCCCAGAGTGGGGGCTTTGTCCCAGAGAGCCTGGCAGAGCCTTCGGAGCCCCCCGGGAGGTCAAGCAAGGGCGCATGACTTCTGGGGGGCCATGCATGGCTTCCTTCCTGGGTGGAGCTGCTTCCTCCCGGCGCGGCTTAGCTCTGGCCCAGCCCCTCCCCCCTCCCGGGAGAGGCGGGAGAGGAGGTGGGGGCTCAGATCGAGGCTGGGGGCAGGAAGGCTAGAACAGGAAGCCCCTCGCCCCAACCAGGGGGCATGGAAGCGAGCATGGGCCCCACAAGCCCCTTGGCAGGGCAGTGGGGCAGGAAGGGAGACGGGCGGGGCCTTTGGGGAGGAGCCTCCGGGGGGAGGGGGGGGCTCTAATGTGGCGGAAGGAAGGAGGGCAGCCGCCCAGGACAGGACATTTAGGTGCCAGTGGGCGGGGCAGGATTTGCACTCCTGGCAGCGGGCTTGGCTGCAAGAGGGGAAGGCAAGAGTTAGGGGTTGGATTTGGGGGGCTCAGCTGGAGGAGCCTCGGGGGGGGGTCTCTGATGCAGTCCGAGCGGAAAGGGGCCCGGCCGGAAGGAGCTGCTCCCTGCACAACCTGGACTCTACCTCCCCCCCCCCCCCCCCCCCGCTCTGCTGCTGCTGCCTTTCTTGCTGCCTCCCCTCCCCCCAGCCCCCTCTTGCTTGGCCAGGGCCCTTAGCGACCCCCCAACGATGGGGATGCCTCTCTCGGCTGCGCCTGGCTGCTCCGGAGCCCCCCCCCTCCCCGGCCGGCCTCCCCCAGCTCCAGGAGCACAGAAAGGGGTTTTGCGCACTCAGGACCCTCTTCCTTGCGTTGCAGGTCGGAGCTAAGCCCGAGGTGCCCCCTGCCCGCCCAGGGCTCTAAGCAAGGCCGGATAAGAGCCGGGCCAGGGGTGTGAGCGCCCCCAGCCCCTCGCCCGGGCAGAGGCAGAGAGGCAGGCCGGCTTCTGCAGAAGGGGGTCCCGGGGGGATTGTGCCCAGGCTGCCCTTGTGGCTGGGGGAAACCCCGCAACAGCCCAGCCTGCTCCCTGTCCTCTGCCAGGCGGTCAGCTGGCGCCTCGGTTGCCCCGCCCTGGCTACAAGGCCCCCAGGCAGAGTCCAAGCCCTCCCCATAGAAAGGTGGCAGGTAAGGGAGGGGTCAGAGCCGTGGCCTGGCAGCCGACTGAGGCTTGGCCCCACAGGGAGCCCCGTGTGCCGTTCCCAGGGGCACGACCCACGCCTGAGCGGCCCCTGCGCTGGTCCCCCGCCTCCCTCGCCCCCCTGGCGGATCTGGAGGCTGACAGGGAGGGGAGGCTGCCCCAGACAACACTCAGGGCCGCTCCCCACCTGCGCTTCGCCTTCACGGCTGTTCCTGTCTTGCCTTTCAGGGTCGCAGACGAACCTGAGAGAATCAGGGGACCTGCGCTCACAAGGTGAGTCCCTGGGGGGCCAGCCCCCATCGGTGGGGCAGGCCGGGTCGAAGGCTCGAAAGGCCAAAGGGGGCTGTTGGAGAGCGGGGGGGGGGGGGGTGCCTTTACCTCTGCGAACTAGTCCGCTTTCTCCGGGGTTTGTTTCCCGCACTGTTATCTGGGTTCCTCCACTATCTCGTCCGCTGGCGTTTATGTTTACTTATTAGGCCTTTGTTGTTTCTATGAGTTGCTCGTGGCGGCAAACCCCGAATCCTCCTCCCTCCTCTTCCTCCTCCACAACAACCCTGAGAGGTGGGATGGGTTGGGGGGTGGGGAACAGCATAGAATAATCGTCACCAACCTGGGTTCCCCAAGCCTTGAGCCGTGGTCAGAAACCCAACAAAGCTAAACATGCCCCTTGGCATCTGGGGGCCCCCCCTCGGGCCTTTGGGGCACCTGCTGCTGCTGCCCGCTGAGCAGGCGTTCATCCTCCTCGCCTGCAGTTGCAATCTACCTTGGCATCAAAAGGAAGCAGAACCCCGGCTGCTCCGATTTACCTGGAATGTGAAGCTGACCAGCACCCGCTCGGCCGAGGCCATCCTGGCCGCCCTCTGCCAGGCCACGGACTCTGCCAACTGCTGCCACCGCCAGACGGAGCCCTTCGTCCTCTCCTGCACCCACGGGAAGAGCGCCAGCGAGCACTTCTGCTGCTTCGAGGTGGAGGTCTGCCGGCTGCAGCGGCTGGGGGGGCTGCACGGGGTGCTTTTCCGGCGCCAGGCTGGCACCTCCCTGGCCTTCCGCAGCCTGGTGGCCAAAATCACAGACCAGCTGCAACTCTAGGGTGGCCCGGCCTGCTCCGTGCATTGACTGATCCCCAGGCTGGGGAGCCTGTGGCCCCGGGGCCCTCCAGTTTCCCTCCGGGGCCCAGGCCCACCCCTGCTGCCGCGGGACCAGCCACTGCCACCCTGGAAGGTGCCTGCCAGCTTCTCACTGGTGCTAGGAGGGGCAGGGGGGAGGAAGGGGCGCTGGCAGGGCAGGGCGCTGGCCCCTCCCCCAGCCTCTCATTGGGGGGGGAAAGGCTGGCCGGCCTTCCCTTTCCCCGAGTCACGTGTGGGGAACTGCAGGCGAGGCCCCGGGGCCCTCCTGCTCCACCCGATGTACAAAGGGGGCCACCGGCGGGGCCCTTTCACTCGCCACCTCTCTGCCATCTCACCTCCAGGAGCCAAAGTGCTTTCGTTTCCCCAAATGGGGGGGGGGACCTTGGGGCTCGCCCATTGAGTGTCCTGCCTCCCTTTCCTGGCACCCACAAAGGCTGACACCCCCCCCCATCCCGGCTCCACTCTGGCTGGAGAGCTGGTGGGAAGAGCTGCTACCCCCCTCCCCCCCAAGAATGCAAACATCCTGCAGGTGGTCCGGTCCGTCCAGCTTTCGGTGGCAGCGCCATTCGCACCTGACCAGGTGGGCAGCTGTGCCCTCGGGCACTTTGGGCATCGGAGGCCTTCCCGCCCAAAGGCCTGCAGGCCAGGAGGCCCCGGGGGACCCCCTCACCTCGTGGCCGGACTAAGAACCGAATGGGAAGCCCCCCCTCGGAAGGGGCTGGTCCTCCCGAGTGGGTGGGGGAGGGGCCCTGCTGGGCCTCTCACTGGGGTGGGCAGGTGTTGGCGCTGCTTTGGTGCAGCTGGAGGGCCGTGGTGGGTGGCGGGTCGGCAGCCCTCAACCCCGAGTTTGGGCCCAGCCGTGGGAGGGAGCTGCCGGGCAGCCGGGTCCGGGCTTGCGGGGGGGAGCTGTTTGGCTAGGCGGAGGCAGCCGCTGCTGGGAGAGTTGGCAGCTCCGGTGGGGGAAGCTGCAGGGCCCCCCTCCCTCCCTCCCTCCCCCCTCCGGCTTTCCTTTGTTTCCTGGGTGCCCCCGCTGTGACTGTGCCCCTCCCCTCCAATCTGGCCTCTTGGGTGCCCCCCACTTGTACAGACCCCCTGTAAATAGCGGTCCCTTGGTCCCGTGTCGCTGGGCAGATATATTAAGCGCCACCTTTTCACCTCTGGACGATGTAAGTTATTCCGGCCCCAAATGACGCCCGTGTCCAACCCCAAATAAACGTGGAAACTCTCGTGGCTCCGTTTGGTCCCTGCGTCCCCCGTGCGTCTGGGGGGGGGGGGGGGGCTGGTTGCTGGCAAGGTCCTGGGTGAGAGTCCTGCCACGGACAGCCTCTGGGTGGGCCTGGGGAAGAGGAGCCCTCAAGGGCAGCCTGCCTTAAGAGTCAGCCAGCCGGCCAGAGCAGCCCCTGCTCTGGGAGACCCCCGACTCGGGCAGAAGCACCCTCTGCTCGTGAAGGTAGACTGTCACTGCGGGCCTAGGCTCCATCGCCACGGCAGGGCCGCTCCAGGGCCCCTCCTAAGAAAGGCCCCTTGCCCAGCTAGGAGCCAGCGTTCCCCTCTGCCTGGCCTCGGGGGACCCTGCAGTAGCTGGCCAGCCGGGGTTCAAGGGCTGGAAGGCGAGACGGGAGGCCCCGCTGCTCTGCCCCCCCTCCCCCCCCCGCGGCCACTTCAACCTCCCCTCCCCGCGGAGCCGGCGCCAAGGAAAGAAAGGCGGGGCTGGGGGAGACAAGGCCCTGGGGCCAATCGGTCGCTTTATTAACTCCGTCCACCGTGGCTCCCGCGAGGGGAGCTTCCCAGCTGGCAACGGGCGGCGGCAGCAGCCCCCGGCCCTGGGGGAGCCGAGCGCCGGGAGCCGCCGCGGCGAGTGGCAGGGTTGGGGTCACCCCGGAGTGGAGGCCCCAGGCCGCCCAGGGCCCGCGGGGCCCCTCACTTCTGGGCGGGGATCATGTCGTCGATGGGCTGGCCTTTCTCCAGGTGCTTCTCCATCTCGACCATCAGCTTCACACCGTCCACCACCAGCTGCACCTGCTCCACCTCGGAGGAGCCCAGCCGGTCTGCGTTGGAGATGTCGAACACGGCGCCCACAGCCTCAGTGTCCACGCCGCCTGCGGGAGGAGGGGCAGCACCGGCGGGCTCAGTCCGCTGACCCCCCGCAGAGGGGCAGACCCTCGGGGACCCCTAAGCGTGGGGCAGGACCACCCAGTGGGGCCGGCCGGCCGTGACAAGGGCCCCGGGAGGGCCCAGCGCCCGGTGCGCAAAGGCCAGCGGCTTCGGCCTTGGCTGGAAAGAGAGGAGGGGCCGGGAGGGGGGGCAGCGGGGCGAGAAGCGAATCCCCCCGAAGAAACGTTGCGGGAGGGGCATCGCAGAACCCCCACCCCCACCCCCTTTGGCGGAGCTCCGGACAGGGAGGGGCAGGCCTGGCGAGCCGGCCCTTTGCCCAAGCGGAACTGGCCCCCCGCCCTGCCCCTCCCCTCCCCCACCTGTGCCGCGTTTCTGCAGGCGGAGGCGGTGCAGGATCTCCTCGAACTTGGGGTGCTTGCTGAGATGGGGCAGCTTGACGTGGACGCCGCCCCGCAGGCCGGTGCCCAGGTTGGAGGGGCAGGTGAGGATGTAGCCCAGGTGCTCGTTCCAGCTGAAGGGGTGGCCGGCCTGCTTGAAGATCTCCTCGATCTTGGGTTGGGGGGGAAGGGGGGCAGCAGAGGTTGGCAGGGGGAGTGGCCGGGCAGGCCAGACCCTCGCCTCTTTCCTGGCCCGCCCCTCCCCCCCGCCAGGAGAGTCTTTATTCCAGTGCCAGGGGGCCTGTCCAGTATCCCGCGATGCCCTCCCCTGCCCCCTCCCTCCCCTTGGAGCCAGCCCGGGGCCCCGTTTCCCCCCCAGACCCCGGTCACCTTCTGCAGCCCCACGCAGAAGCGGCGGAAGACCTCCTTCATGTTGCCCCCCTTCTGCATGGAGATGACCCGCAGGTGGTCCTCCTCGTTCACCCACACCAGGAAGGTCTTGTTGTCGTTGTGCCTGGAGGGGGGGGGAGCAGAGGCCTCAGCGCCCCCCGCCTGCTGCCCCTCAGGCTCCGTCGGCATTGGGCGGGGGGGGCGGCACCCAAGGGCATCGAGGCGGCCCCCTCGGCTGCCCACCAGCCAGCGGGCCAGGGCGGCCCTCAGCGGCTCTTCCCTGGGGGGGGCTGGGGTGGATTGGGGGCGGCTGGGCAGGGGCTGCTCACCAGATGCCCCGGGCGTCGGGCCAGTCGCGGGCCATGCCGGAGGCGAGCAGCAGCGGGGAGACGGGCTTGTCGAAGAGGAAGTGGTCGTCGATCAGCTGCTGCTGCTCCGCCTCACTCATGCTCTTCAGGGGGTAGTACTTGCCCTTGAACTCCCCGGTCAAGCTGTTCAGGGCTGCGGGGGACACACGGGGGGGGGGGGTGGCTCAGCAAAGGCGGCCGCCTCCTCCTTCCCCTCCCTCCTTAAGCCTCCCCCCAACAAGGCTCGAGCGGGGAGGGGGCTCCTCAAATCCTGCTTCCCTCCATCCTCAAAGGGAAAGATTCGCCCCTCTGAGCGAGACCCGGGAATCTGTTCCCGGGACCCCTTCCTGAGGGGGGACCTGAAATATTCGGGGCAGCCCCCCCCCCCAGGAGCAGTGGTGCTGGGCAAGGGCTCGGCGAGGCTAGCGCCACCTGGTGGAGCAGCGGAGACGGCCTGGCGCTGGGCGGGGCTCACTCTGGCTGGCGGGCTGCGAACCAGCCAAACGGGCAACTCAGCTCCTCCAAAGTTTGTGTGGAGACCCCCAATTTTGGGCCAAGCGGCTCCTGCCCCCCATTCCTGCCCTCTTACCTTTGATGGAGAGTTTCTCGACGGCCCGGCGCTCGGCCCGGCTGCAGTGGGGAGGCAGCGTGTAGCCCTTGATGCTGCGGCCGGTCCGCACGCGGGAGCTGAGCACGTAGTTGGGGTCCAGATCATCACCGCCCTGCAGGGAAGCAGAGCTGGGTGGGGTCGTCTCGCTGCCCAGGCTGACCCCCACCACCCCGTGCCCTCCCTGGGCCTCCCCACGTACCCGTGGGGGGCACCTGCAGGGACAGCCAGCGGGTCACTCTCTCTCTGTCTCTCTCTCTCCCTCTGGTCTTTGCACACTTAAGGGCTTCCCTGAAGTTCCTCCCCCCCCCCACCAGCAAAGCCCCCCGGCTGCCTCACCTTCAGGTTCTCGTAGTTCAGGTCGGTCTTGTGCTTGTCGGTGGGTTTGTAGCCTCCGTGGCGGTCATGGATGATGATGTCGAAAAGGTCCTTGAAGGTGCAGTAGCACTCTTCGTCACCAGCTACGGTGCCCACCGTCATGATGTAGGGGTGACCTGCAAGGACAGTGGGCTTCAGCAGGGGGGGGGCAGGGGGGGCAGAGGACCCAAGTCCCCCTCTGAAAGGCCAGGGCTTGGCACACCTGGGGGTTCCCCCCTCTCACCCCTGCCTGGCACCAGTTCTCTCAGCTGCCCCAAACACGAGGGGAGGGGACGGGGGAGGGGCCTCTGGCAGGGGTCACTGGGAAGCCCAGCCACCTTTCACTCCCGGAGGCCACCAGGTCGAGGCATGCCGGCATTTGGCCCCCTCGGCCCCTGGGGGCCCCTCTCCAGCTAAACGTCCCTCTTAAGAACCTGTTCCCCTTATTTAGCAGCGCTTCTTTCCAGGCCGTGACCAGCCGGCGTCCCCCAAAGCCTTTTCCTTCACCTCCCATTTGTCCCACCCCAAAATGTTTACAAACGTTTCACGAAGTAAGTTAAAACAAAAACAAAAACTCCCAGAATTCCCCAGCCGGCAGAGCGATTCCTAGTTAACATCAAGAGGAAATCAGGCTTGTTTAGTCCACGTGAACAATAAGACGGAAAGAACGGATCGGATTTTTTCCACCTGCTCCCCCTTTAGCTCTTCTCTCCCCCCCCCCCCCCCCCCCCCCCGGCCCAGAAGCAGCACCCGAGTCGAACCGATTAGATCGGTGGATTAGATAGAGGATGGGTGGGTGGGTGATAGATGAGACCAATAGATACCGAGACAGAGAGACAGACAGACAGGGAGGGAGGGAGGGAGGGAGGCAGAGGTAGGTAGTAGGTAGGCAGAGTGTCAGGGTTTCCACAGGTGGCTGAAGGAAGGAGGAGTGATGTTGCCCAAGCAACCAGACCGCCCCTTCGTTGGGCTGGCTATGGGGCCGATGTCTTGGGGAAGGGGGAATAGCTTTCACTTTGAATTAGGGGAAAACCGTGGAAGCCTCTAGGTCTAGGATCAGTTTTCACCAGCCTGTGCCAACGTGATAGATAGAATAAAACTATTCTTTGAGGTACCCGCCTGCCTCGGCCTTTGGTTTGCTATGGGCGCAAGACTCGGAACCCTGACATTAAACCGACTCTCCCTTGTGGCCTCCCTACAGCCTGAAAATGGCCTCAGTCAGCCCAGCTCCAGAGCTGACGGAGAGGGAGGGCGGGAGGGAGGGAGGGAAGCTGAGCTCTGCTTTCTGCCTTCACCCACAGGCAACCGGCTGCCAACTTGCTCAATGTGATGCCCGCCTGTGCCAGAGGGGGGAGTCAACCCCAGGAGAGGAGGGGGCACCAGAAGGCACAGCTTGTGCTTTGCCTGGGGGGCAAGGTCAGTGGCCACCCTCTCCAGGGTTGCTGCCAGTCAAATGCGGACGTCCGACTGCTTGAGCTGTGTCCTGACAGAAAACGGGCCAGGGGCACCGCCGGGTCTAGCCGGGGGAAGGGGGAGGGCCAGCTCACCTGGGTTGTCCACGCCGGTCTGGATGCAGTCGTCCAGGGTGCAGCCGCTGGCCGTCTCCTTGTCCCGCAGCCTCTTGTACATCTCCAGGGTGAGGGCCTTGGCCATGTGGTTGTTGTGCACGGACAGGTCGGGGTACTCGTCCTCCGCAGAGTAGTTCATCTTGAACTTGTTGTGGGTGTTTCCGAAAGGCATGGTGGCGGCTGAGCACGAGTCCTGCCGGGGCAGAGGAGGGTGAGGGGCCTGGAGCTGCCACAGCGCTGGGATTTCCCGGCAGCAGCGAGGCTTGAAGGGGGCTGGGCGCAACGTACCCAGAGATGGGGGAAGGGCGAAGGGGCCTTAGGGTCACTGCCTACCAGATGTAGCAAGTGGATCTTACAGGGGAAGCTTCACCTGGCAGGTGAAGAGCTCAGTGAGGCAGGGCAGACCCGGACTTCACACTGTGCCAAACTCCCCATTTCCACTGCACGACGGACCTGGGTTTGGGCTACTTCC